GAGTCTATCATTTCATTCAGGGTAGGGTCCAGGCACTTCCCTAAGAGTCCAGGCAGAGAGAGCAACCCTCTTTGTGTTATGGACACAGGATGTCTGTTAGTATTCGAGGGATAAACACTGATCAACTGCTCAGAACCCCATAGGTAGCCCAGGCCTCCTCATTGACTCTCACATTCAGGGGGTCTGGATCAGTCCCATGCTGGCCTCCCAGCTGTCAGGCTGGGGTCCAAGAGCTTTCCCCTGTTTGGATCAGCTGTCTCTGCTGGTTTTGCCAGGCCATTCTTTGCCAATTTGCTCTTTGCTCCTCTGTCGCTGGGTTCCTTGGGTTCTGTTCAGTATTTAACTCAGATGACACTATTATTTAACACTGTTACTTGAGCAAGCTACTTTGCCACTCTGTGGCAGTGGTTCATTTGAAAAATGTGAGTGGTACCTCTCTTGTTACTGCTTTGGAAGTTTACTACAATGCATTTAAGATTCTAGAAACTCACTATGCTCAGAATAAGTGGCTATTTTCACAGTTCCTAGTTCACCTGTTGCCCTCTAGCATGGCAGCTGCTATTTCTCAATCTTGGTATTGAAGTTCCCATCGTGTCCATTATTCTTGCCAACAGTCAAAGACTTCCTTATCTTAGAATAGTTTCCCCAACATTTGTAGCTTATCCTATGTCTTTTTAAAAGTATATTTGGAATCCTGGGTGTTCCTATTTCATAATACAAATACATAAGATGAGTTGTCAGGATGTTCATTTGAAGGTATTCATAGTATAGACCACTTTTGAGAAGACTTGAGGTATGATTTTATTTGGAAAAAAGAAGCATTACAGGGCTTTTAAGCATTAAAATTGAAAATATGCAAAACCATTTTGTCAAGTTGCATTGTTCATTCCAAGAAATGGTAAATGGTTGTGTGACCCTAGAACATAGGACACTTGCAGAAAATATTATCTAACAATCTTAAAAAGAATCGTTGAAGATATATTACGGAAGTCCCTGAATGTCAAAATTACGAGAAATGGTCTTATAAGCACTGGCTAGCTCGTCAATGGGTTTTGAGCTTATATTAGAGGGGTCACAGTGTTAATATCAAGACAGTGAAGACTGGGGGAGAAGGGTGAATTTTGCTGTGGCAGTTTAATTAGCACAATTAACCTGAGTTAGGTGTCTGTCTGTACCCTGTTTTGCTTTTCAATCACTGTGTATTGGAAACATGAGACTGAGGACTTAGTGAGCTAAGTTCTCAGTTTCCATACCTGACTCCTGTAGAAAAAATAGATGATGTAATTGACTAAGGTGCAGAAGACGTTGTCTTCTTATTGGAAATAAAATGAACATCGAAGCTATGTGAGGGTGAATTAAGTATTGAAGTTGCTTCTGGAAAGGGCAAACGTACATGTTTCAAATGGATGGTCTGCAGGAGTCTGGAGAAAGACAGCTAGCAAGAGCCAATGTGAGCAAAAGTCAATATGCAGGTAGAAAGCAAAGACACAAATACAAGTAAATTGGGGGAATCTTGGTAGGACAAGTAGATTATGTCAGTGTCAATGCCTGGTTTTAATATTATTTTACAGTTTTTAAGAATCACTTGGAGGAAATGTGATGAAGAACATTTTAGTTTTCCACTGTTATGTAAAATAATTGATGTAATTAACATATAGATGAAAATATTTCTATGAAAAACTAGTCCTCATGATTTGGACCTATGAAAACATGGTACAGCTTAGAGTACATTTTGCAGTAAAATGTTATCTTTACAGCCTGGAAGGAAAACCAGAGGAAAGGGAAGGGTCTTGGGCCACATAATTATCTCTGAAGACTGATCTTCAATGAAATAAAAATCCCCACAAGATCCTATCTCAGCATGGTTCCACCACCTAGCATATCATACACACGAACCTTTGGGGGAATACCCGAAACCAGACTTGCAACAGAGTGTAGGATATTTACGTATTATCTCTACAGTTATTTGCATATGATTCTATAATTATCTCAAAATAAATTGTCTTTAAAGTGTTTCATTATTGGCAAATGTTAAGAGGTCAGTTGTTAAATATGCTTGCTTCTATGGTGGAACTTGGAGTATTAAAGTCAGAACCCTTTGAGGCTAGAGTTTTAGCTATAATTTACATTTCTATGTCCCCCTCCCAGAAGATTGAGACAGTGGAATGAATAAACATCATCACATGGGCCCTGGATCATGCATGGGCACTGGGTCATATGCTCACACCCAGCTCCCTCCCTGGTCTCAGCTCTCCTCTCTGGGTCCAATCACTTCTCTCTTTAGTTTCCATATTTAGCCTGTGGATATCTATTATCTTTCAAGTCATGGTATAATTCTGGTTAAAGAATTCTGAAGAAGTGTACTATATCCTCCAGTCACGTTCTTGAAGGTCTTTGCCAGGTCTCCATTTTTATGCTATGGGAGCTGTAGCAGTTCCCAGCATCTCCATTGATTATGTATATCCAGGGCATCATACATACACTTAGCCTTTCAGAGTCACGCTAAGTACATTATTCCCCGTATTGTATCAGTTTTGCTTAGAAGAGTTACAGTGAACTTTCATTTCTTTGCTTGTTTTTATCTGGAACTAACCCTGAAACTCTGTGACTTCATAGGCCTATTTATTCTGCAAGTGTATTCCCTCTCAAGTGGGATGCCTTGTGCTGTATATAGCCAGGCATCATGAGGCAAAGACAGAGTAAGCGGTAGTCCCTCAGATACTTGGACTCTCCTAGAGATATTTTATGAAAATAGAATAGGAAAACAGGAAGAAACAATAAAGTCTTGGTCAGAGGAAACTTGAGTTTTTCACTGCTATGGAGAAGAGGATGCTGCTGATAGCAAAATTTGGAAGTCTCAGAGAGATTTAAAAAAATAAAAATTTAAAAAAACCTGTGGTGCTTCAGATTTCAAATACATGTAAACACCTTGGTATTTTAATAGAGACTCACTCTTCATGAAAATCTTGATGAGACTGTGTTGTACATGCCATACAAAATTAAAAGCAGGTGAGAGATTTTTAAGTTCCTACCCCATCTACCCACCCCACCCCCACATCCCACGATATTCCCTCTACATGCTTCAGAATTTCTGGAAAGTCCCTTCACAATAAATAGGACTGAATGGACATGTCCGTGAAGCCCAGGAAAATGGACCAACTGGAAGCTAAGCCACGTAAGTAGGTGCTCCTGTGTGGGGAGCAACTGGACTGTGCAGTTCTCATTTCACAAGGGAAGGATAGAGAAGTTGTACCCTGCGACAGGGCCACTCTCTTTGGCCTGAGCAACCCCATGCCTCCCTCCTTTTTCCTTTCTCCCCACCCACCTTTCGTCGTCCTCAGAAGCCCATGTGTGTGAAGAACAGCAGAGGAATGTGGGTGGGTTGACTTGTATAATTAAATCCATGTTGCATCGTGTTCTTTAGAATTAATAAGGAATCCATCCCATTGAAACTCACCATGACATCTTCCCTCTGACTCAGATTTCTTTTCTGCTTTTCTCTTCTTTCCTTGGCTAAAAGCATTAGACATGGGGCTATGGTTCAAATTAGCATCCTACATTTCTCCTTTCTCTCTCTCTCTCTCCTCCCCCCTTTAATTGAACTTTTCTGTTCAGTAAAAAAAAGTGTAGTTTATTTATATTTCATTTTCTTCTAGTTCACTTATCCACCATTGTCTTTTGTTGTTGTTCTTTGTTTCTTTCTCCAGGATTTGAGAGGAAAACACAAGACAGCTCTTCAACTTGTTTGTGATCAACAGATTGGAGAATACGTCAGGCCGACCAAACACTGACAATCAGCTATTTGCCTTTGGGAGGTTTCATTTCCTAGAGCATCATCTTGTGATGCCATAAAAGCCATTCCCATGGATGCCCATCTCTGTTGGTACAGTTACGTATATGTGACCTTGATACAGAGAGGAGAGAGACCTCAAGCAAATGCCACTTGTACATTTCTAGGTCATGTTGCAAAACACCTTTTTATTGGAAGTAATAATTTGACTTCATTTCCTAATAAAAGTAGATTTATGTGCTGGATACATGATATGCATGTTTGTGCCAATGCTCCTTCACGGCAGTTACTGAGGACTAGATTGAACTGTGAGTAACATTAGACTTAAATAAGAGGAGCTTAAAACTGACTTTAAAAAGAAAAGACTTTGCTCATTCATGGAGAGATCTTGGCTATGATGGTTCCATTCTTGAAGTCCTTTTAAGCATCCAAGGATATTTGCAGCTCAAGGTGTGGTTCTCAACTTCAAGGTCCAAGCCAGTGATTGCTATGCCACCTCCAAGGCAATCCCATTAGCTGTCGAAAAGAACCCTCTGCTTCCTTCATGAGCTCCTGACTTTTGACCATAGGCAGGCAACAAGCAGTTAGGTGGAAATTCACTTGAGATGTGGCACTGAGGTTTGAGAAAGGCACAGGTTCAAGTATGAGTGGCACTGACTCTAGAGCCTGTGGATTTGAATGTGACATCTGTAAGTCTATGCTTTTCTCATCTGTAAACATGAAACTTCAAAAATGTAAATTATGAAAATAAAAATCATTCTTCCTGAGAGCAGAATAATGATAAAAGATTGTATCATGTATAAAAGAATTGGCCCACTAATTAGCATCATACCAGGTACCATTTTGCAGATTTGTCAATTTCCTGCTGAGTGGTTTCTTTTCTTCAAGGAAAATCAAGTTGTGTTTAGAAGCTGGAGATTATATCTCCCAGTGAGCACAGGCTCAGTGGTTCCATGTGCTTCTCATAAGTGTGTCTTCCAGTTCAAAAGAAACTGGTGTGAAACAGCTGTTGAGGGAAATTTCTGTCTGCAGCAGTTTAGTACCAAATAAAGACACAGAGGCTTATATTAATTATTAGCTGTTTGGCTGATAGCTTAGGCTTCTTATTGGCTAGCTCCTTTTCAATTATTAATCCATTTATATTAATCTATGTATCACCACATGGTCTTGGCTTACTGGAGAATGTCTGGACCTGTTGCTTCCTTGGCAACTATACGGCATCTCACTAAAGACTCACTCTCTTCATCTCTCCTCCCAGAATTCTTCTTGCCTGGCTACATGCTGCCTGTCCATTGGCTGAAACAGCTTTATCCATCAACCAAAAAGAAAACATATGTTCACAGCATACAGAAGGACATCCCCTATCAGACAGAAGCCCCGTTGGTTGTTCCACCTCTGGTAAAGTGGGTTTTATTCTGTAACTGCAGTTTTTATTTATGGGGGATGTGAGGAGGTATTGGGATCCACCTGCCTGTATTCAGACACACTCAACAGGACTAAGATTTGAAAAGGCTAACTTGATTTTATAAGGTCATTTAATTTCTTCTTGATAACAAAGCTTACTAGTCAGCTACAGTCCTTAAACAAAGTAATAGTTGCAGGATGAAAGTAAAATTAACATACAGAACCTGTAAGTAAACTCCCAGAAATATTGCTCCTGGTTTTTGATTAGAGTAGAAAAGCAAGAAAAAGAAATCCCCAAGAGTTCTAGGCCAGCCTGATCTCCACAATGAGGCCTTGTCTCAACAAACAAAAGAAATACCAAAATAGTCAAAATGGGTAAGCATGCCATCTTCATTCTATCTAGGACTAAGAAGACAAGAGAAACACACAGCTTTCTATCTCTTCCTTAGGAAGTCTATATAGTAGTGGTGATGGATTTACATCTTAGTATCATTAGCTTAGATTTATTTTTATGGCCATATGACACCTGTACACTAACCTGAAATATGCCACTTATTATGAGCAGCCACACGACCATTCTTTTTTTTTCTTATTCCCCACATGCACAGAGCAATAGACATTGGGACACAACTGTCAGTGCTAAGTAGTTCTTGAGATTTATCCAGTGATCCTGGGCAGTTACAACATTCCCTCTCTCCCAGACACCAGAGCCATCTTTCAACATCACATGCTTTAGCCCATGATCAGGATCTTCACAGGTCTCCTAGTTCTTTCAGAGTAAAACATAAAATCCTTTGTATGATAGTTTGGCTCTTGGACTTTAGCTCAAACCAGATTGGTGATCAACTGCTTACAATAGCCAAGATTCTCCACCTCTCAAATTTTCCTTCTCAAGCTCTTCAGTTCCCTGGAAGGCACTCAGCTCCCAACTCACTTCAGGACTGACGAAGGATGATTCACCCTGGCAGACCAGAAGAGCTCTCATCTTTGCCCCCCCGAACCTCAATGCCTTGTTTTGCTTATTTTGTTTAAGACAGAGTCTCACTGTGGTCCAAGCTTTCTTCAGTACCACTGCAGTTCCCCTGCCTTGGCCTCTTGAGCACCGAGCTTACAGAGTAAGCCACTATGTTCTCATCCTCAGATACCATTTCTCACCCTGTGAACGAGCATCAGTAACCACTCCCTTCGCCACATTTCATTACATATCCCTTCAGTTGACATGTGCATGATGCCACTTCCTTCTGTTGGTAGTTTGCTCTTTTGGTTTGATGTTTTGACTTCAAAACAAAACTTTCTTCATTTAGTTGCATAGGTCAAGGAATCTTCCTACAACCTTAAACTTGCTTCTTGAATTATTGAGGAATTCCTCAAGAGTCAGAGTAGAAGGAGGGGGTATCTATTTACAACAGGTGTGCTCTAAATGGACAAAATATTATTTCTCAGGTTTGGTAGTGAAGTAAGAGGTAGTTACTGAAGAACTTTAAATGCTAAGGCTAAAATATTGCTTTTATTGACACTGTGACATTTTATTTCATTGTAGCAAGCAGGTCGGACTCTAGAAAGATCATAGGAAGTCAGTTTTAGGAGAATTCTTGGTAGTTTGGAAGCAACATCTGCCAGCTTGATGGAGGGAAACATCTTTTGATTTCAGGTTGTGAAGACATTGTCAAGGACAACTTCACAGATATAAATTCTTAGTATATATTTGGGAGAATAACCTCTGTACTCTAAGGGAACAAATGAGTTTTATGCTTGGAAATTATGCCTTCTTATTTTTAAAGAAATACTGAGTCCTACTCTTCATTCTGACAGCCATTGTCAAGTGTAATTCTAGCCTCACTTTTAACTAAGCTATAAACTTAGATTCCCAACACTTCTGTTTACCAGATAAGGCTAAATTGTTTTGTGTCTCATAGTTTGTCAGTTGGATCTGGATCAGATGACTAGCTTCCAGCAATGGACTGTGAACAAAGTATCAAGATAGCTAAGATAAAATATCTCCTACCTTTCTTGTCACATAAAGAATACGTGATCTAAACAACATTACAAACTAGGAAAGTGTTTGATAAATAAGAAAAGTGCAACTCCAGGTCTGAAGCAATGAGTCAGCAGTTAAAAGCACTCGTTACTCTTGCAGAGGACCACATATACATAATTGAAATAAAGAAAGAAAAATTAAACTCTACTGTGTGGATCCAAGGAGTTTGGAGGCTTTTAGGTTTATATGAGTTATGCAGTGACCACATAGAGTCTTCTGTAGATTAAAGTAAGCTACAAGCATGCAAACACAAACACAGAGTGGGAGAAATGGAAATGGAAATAAGCCATATGATAAGGGAGGTTTCATTATTTGGTAAATAAAACAGCTATATGTAAAGTGTAGATGCTAGTAGATGTCAGTTCTGAAGTTAGACAATTTCGACCTGTGATGAGAACTCACTTAGTGTTTTCCAATGTGATCAAGTTACAAGCAGTGAATTCTTGGTAGAACATGCATATTTTCAGAACCAATCCTGAGCACAACAAATCAAAATCTCCCGGGAAGAAATTTGGATCTCAATTATCTTGTAAGTTTTTATAAGGAAAGAAAGTGGGACCCAGGAGGTCAGTGACTTTTCTTTAGCTGCTGGCCTGATTATCTAGCATGTTGGGACTAGAACCCCGTTTCCAGCAAGCCTCATGATTTGCTTGTGGGTTCATGTAATAATGTTCTAATGGAGTGAGACTAAGACTGGGCCTTTGTCTCCCTTTCTTTGATAAATCATGTCAAGACCTGCAAATGATTTTACTCCCTAACAATGAAAAGAAGATGTAATTTTAAAATTACCTTGGATGTACAGTAAAAGCGGCATTCCCATAATCAATCATCCAAAATCATGGGGTTATTTGGAGCGATTTGAAGGAGAGAAAATTGAAAACATGTTGTTAAACAATGCACCGAAGAGTTATCAAATCATAAACATCTCGATTACTTTAACATGTTGATTATTTCACATTTAGGGTCTCTTTACAAAATAACTCTGGCCACGAAGAGACCTGGGAAAATTCAATGAATCTCTTCCTAAGTTGTTAAGTGTACTGGGTTCAATCATTTGGCTATGTGGGAACACATGTTAAAAGTAAATGTATACATATATATATATATATGTAGCTATTATTCACACTTTTCACTAAGTAGAAAACATGGAGGCCCTACTATTAGGGCACATCTCTGAGGCTATGGAAATAGCTCAGGGACTGCAGTGGTATAACTCTGAACACATTAAAATCTATCTGGAGCTTTGGAAATCAAATATACAGACATTCCATAATGAGCCTTGGGATTCACAATAATTCCCAAACCTGAAAATTCATAACTAAATAATGGCAGCACATTTATGACATAAAATGCCTTAAGCCATTTGTTTATTATTATATGAGGATTTTAAGTTTTATGTTTAAGAAAATTGAAAGCCTACCCTTTCTTTCTCCCTGGGAAGAGTGATACACTAATTAACTTTGAGAACTTTTATTTCTTTCACCAGATGAGAGCTAAGCCAGGACTGAAGTTTATGTGAAGGCATCGATTCGGCTATCAGAATCTGTGATCATACACTTTTTAAAAACTAAACCAAATTAAATTAATCTTTGTTGAAAAATAAATGATGTAATTCCTAGAGGAGTCCATTTTATTCACAGAATGGTGGCCTGTTTCTTCTAAGTGGCTTGCAAGACAGCAATGTCTGAAATGGTTCTTAAAAAAGAAATAGGAAACTGCCTTGAGTGTGGCAGGTGTCTAGAAGGAACCACAACCTGTGAGTGATTTGTGATCTGAGGGATCATCATTATAAGACTAAATTATATGTGCAATCTTACCAAGACCACATTCAAAGGTGGAATTCAAGAATTTACTAAGATCTTATCCCTTCAAGGACTTCTCAAATGAGCCTAGGCAATGTTAGCAACCATTCATCTGGCTGAAAATCACTGTGCATCTTCTAACTTTTCTTGGAATAGATTCCTTATGTAGACACAATGTGAGCTGAATTGCATCTGGTTAATGTTTTTGGAGAATTTTGTTGAAATAAAAACTTGAGTCTGTGTAGTGTGTGGCTGATTTATCAGTGCCTGTCCATATGAAAGGAAGGAAGGAATGTAAAGTGTGACAACCAGAAGGTCACTCTGCCAGTCTCCATCCAAGTACAATTAAAGAGCCATGGTCCATAGACCCCAACATGGATATGAAGTTTTCTTTCTGAGAAGTCAATCATCTCTTAGACCTCTTTGAACAGACAAGAAAAAGGAGGGCATAACAACAGCGGGGTAGACAGAAATCCCAATCATCTTGCCTTTGGCTGCCATACTTAAGATGCATGAGTTTCTAAATAAGTTTCGTAACTCCTTGGAGCCCCAGTTTTCTTACTGTTGAGAACATAATATCACTCATCTCTGTGAGCATGAGAATTAGCAGACATCGTGCGTGGGACCAGACATCTGGTAGTTCCCAAGAACATGATCAGGCTTCAGGAATCTCAGCAGCATCAAACATGTACTGCGCCATCTATCGTGTTTCAATACTTCAACCCTGTCCCTGGCATTCAGTTGGCACTTGTCGTTAGTGGACACCCAACACATAAGTCATGGTCTGCCACAGGACAGCTGAATCTCTTTTTATTCTGAGTGCCTTTGGCCTTGAAAAGAGGGACAGGCAAGACCTGAGGGAGAGTGCCCATGTATCCTGCCATGGATCTCTCAGGAATGCCAGGAGGTGGTTTCCAGAGAAGTAAGGCTCTCATCACCTTGGTTTCTTGGTCTGGTGTGGATTGCAAAGCCCCGCTGCTGGGTTTCTGGGCCTCATTTGGCATTTTGTGGTCTTCCCTCTTCTGAGTCTAGAGTAAAAACTGAAACACAACTGAAATGTCAGGTTCTATTTTGCTTCAAATGCTCCCGAGGGTTGGGTAGAGGTTTTTCAGTTTCACCACAAGCATTTACAAGGGCCGCACACTTTGGCAGGACCTGGTCTCCAGATAGGTCAGCTGCTCCAGACCCAGAACGTAGCTGAATTCCAGAGGTCATGAAAAGGTGAGTTTCTGGGGGGTCCTGGAAACACTAACTCAACCTTGGTCCATCATTTTGCTATGTTCAAACCCCAGTATAGCCAGGAGTGGCTCGGTTTCTGGTTTCAAAATGAAATTTTCACACGGCCCAAATCCCAACCTACCCTAATTTAAAGAAATAGCCACTTGGCGTGTGAGGCAGATAGATCAGCAGTTGCTCACATGCAGCTGTGCACATCTGGCACACAGGTATGTGATTTTGCATGAAGATAAATTGTGTGGGGACCAAATGCACAGTTGTTAAACTAAAAATGAATCGCTTCTTGGAAGCAATCTTCCTGCACAGTGGGGTGTCTGCCTGAGCCTGAGCCCTTTTCATTAGGTTTTTCTCAGAAAACACAGCCTTCTCCAGAAGGCCTATGGCAGAGGAGGGGATGCCCACACCTGCAGCTGACTTTCTGTTTCTCTTCTAGTCACACGTGAATACAAGCTCCAAAAACCAAGGCTTGGTTTTCTTCCCCAAAGCTTTACTCATAGCAAAAGTCCTTTAAGAAAAAGGCCAGGCCTTCCTTCCTATGACATTACATTTCAGTGAAACTATGTTTTGTCCAGAAACATCTTTATTCTTTACGGAGATATCTTTTGTTGACAATTGCTGAAGGATTGGGGCCTATTACTAAACTTGATTGACAAAGAAGTTCATCTCCCTGGGAACTAATGAAGTCAATAGTGGCCCTTCTACATGAACATTTCTCCAATAATTCAGCACTTGTGACTCATGGGAGAAGAGCATGCTACCATGCTGTTCAAATCAAATGCCTCACCTTCACTGTATTTCATTAGACTGTAAGGAAGAGAACTGATCTTGAGTGAGGTTATTTTCTTGCTTCTATAAAGCAGCATCCTGGTTCGAGGCTTAGTGTGATGTTTACCAAGGGAGAATTATTAGGTGCTTGTACAAATGGATCAATAACAGAAAGAGACTAATACTGTCTTCCTATATGTAAGCAGGACTACTAAACACATCTTCATTCTACCCTCTACTCGCTCCCTTTTCTTCTTGCCTCCTTCACTCACTCTCTCCCTATCTATAGTAATATATACTACATTGAGGTCAATAATGGTCCATATATACAATGGTGGCAGAGTAAGATTATAATGGAATTAAAATTCTCTGTCTCTTACTGACAACCATTATAGCATCATAGTGAAAATGCCTTACCAAAATTTTGTAGTGATTCTGTTACAAAAAACAAACTCTACCATGTCAATTACTGAAGAATGGCATATGCAATTATGTACAGTTCACAGTATTAATAAGGAGGCTAAATGGCCATGGTAGAGATATATGTTTCACTATCCAATATCTATTCCTATTTTAAAGCACACTTTTCCCCACTAATAAAAAAGCAAAATTTGCTGCAAATTTGTATGTTATGCTATACAGTAATCACTGTGTTTTCTGTGTCTCTTTATCGCACCAAGACCACTTGAAGTGGTTGTCCTACACCATCAAGGTTTGTGTGAAATGCTCACATAGCAATAGAATCACCTAACACCCACTGTTCAAGATGTGGTCCCATTACTAAGTGACTCATGCCTAATTTTGGAATGAACAATGAACCCAGTAAGTGAGAGGGAAATCAGAGTAATTTTTACATAGCCTGTACCTTCAGCCTTTTGATTTGGGGTACTGAGCTAATTATAATACACTGTTGAGGGCCTATGCTATGCCCTTTTTTCTCAATGTGTCTACCCCTTTCCTGCCTTGTCACACCCTGAGTTATTCATACCTAGTTCTCATCTCACTTATAACTCTCCATGAAGGCGAACTGTTTGTTAGGAGCACACTTGTCTCCCATGTTCGTCATCTGCTTGATCCTCACACCATGGACCTCGCCAAAAAACAATTATCTTTTTTTTAATTTCTGACAACTGGCCCTCCACAGTTCATTAAAAACAATCTGGCAGAAGAATGCAAAACTTCTTACTTTTCTTGAATAACTGTGCTGTGACTCTGGGTATTCCTATTTTATGGAATCCATGACAACTCAACATATGAATATAAAGGGTCTTCCTGGACTTGACCCAGAACTCAAACAGAAAGAAGGTGCATTATGAAGTAGCTTGCAACTGCCAGGATTTTGTGGGACCTGCCTCAGGGGGGTCGTGACAAGTCATAAAATAAGGAGAATGTGAATGAAAGCAGGACCAATGATTTTTGTTCTTACAGAAAAAATGCCTTTTTTAGGGCTCGATGCTGAGTCCAGAGTGAGTGCAGAGGCTAAGTCTCTGTGGGAGCTGCAGGGGCATTTGAGAACAGCAGCTTTTGGTATAGGATGCTAAGTCCAGGAATCATGAACACATAGTCTCCCAAGTGTGTGACCCATTAGTGGCCCTCATTTGCCCCTTGTCTGCTTTTGCTTTGGATTTTTGCTTTATTACTCTTTTGAGTCTGGTAATGGAGAAAAGCCTTGGGGAAGGTCTGTTTTTTTTTTTCAGAATGCAACATAAATTCTACATTTATACTCACAAAACAGAAAACTGAAAGGTTTAATACACACACATTTATGAATCTGTTGCTAATGTAAAAATGTAAATATATTTTATATAGGTAAATATACAAATGGCTTGCTATATATTAATCCTAGTTTTACAAATAGGACTCAAAATACTGATCAAAAAGAATGACTGATAGAATAGCCAATGCTGTACTCTTCATAGCATATATAATAGCTTAGAGCCCCATAATACAATAAAATATCATTCTTTAGAGATCTCAGGAATTTCTGATAAGAGTTTCCTACAGTTTCTCACTCTACCAGTGCCCAAACTATGTCCCTCATTCCTGTCCTTCAACTTAGGGCTCTTGTTCTTTCCTATCAAGTGTCTGTGGCAGGAGTCCTAAAGTAGCTTTGCTTCCACCCATACATGGTATTCATACCACCCTCGGTGATAGCAAAGGGACATGTAGGGAAAACACAGCAACCTAGAATTATGGAAGAGATAAATTATGAAACCTCAGTTACATTATGGCTATAGAACTACTTATACTGGAAACAACTTTCTGGGGAAACCAGAACATTTGCTATTTACTATCATAAAGTGCTACCCAGTCAAAACAACCCATGATTCCAACTGAGGTTACATAATGGTCAACAGGTCATGTGCAACCAAATAATGACTTCCTAAACGTGTTATGATAGTTTCTTCAAAGGGTGACTTTGCACAGAGACTAACAACCACTAAGGGTAACCCAGAAAGTCAACACAAAGAAGGATGGGGCAAATAGGGGAGGAAGATAATCCTAGATTCAGAACCCAAAAGTTGATATATCACATTTCAACTTGACTTCTTCTAACTTAAGCCTCTTTAATAATGACATAAGGAAAAGATTTTCCTTTCAATTCTGACCTTATAAAAACATTTCTCACATTATGGGGTATTCATAAATCTTATTTGTGAAGAACCTGTAGTTTGCATTTCCATTGCCACTTATCTGACTAATTTTCTCCCAAAAATTTGTTCAGGAAGATCCTATCGTGTTATGTTGTCTTTCAGGTCAATGATTGGTTATATTCACTGGAAGCCATCTGAGTCTGGAGGGCCTTGAGCTCCAAGCAAAGCATGTTTGCATGTTCAGCTTTCTTATCCCTTAAGAATAGGTGCTTATCAAATACTGTCTAACTAAAATAATTGGCCATCTTACTGAGCCAGCACTGAGAACTATTCTTTCTAAAAATTTAATCAGTGTTGTCAAAACCTCAAGATCCTGTGGTTGAAAGAACTGGCCCACTGAGACCTGTGCTAAGAATTATTTTTTCGTAGACCTCCTGTGAGATAAGGAAAAACAAACCGCCAACCCAATGTTGCTTGGCCAAGAGATCTTCAGGCCATCTATAAAATACCATCTTCCAGATTTGACATTTTATGACATTCCTTGAGCATATCTTATTGTCCTGACTACATCATTCCAAACCTCCAAAACCAGGCTTTTTCTCAGGAAATTTAGTAGACAGTGTAGACTGTTTCTTTCTATTTCAAGAAA